AATAAATAAAATAAAGGTATTATGTCCATCTACAACTGGGAGAAAAAAAAAAAGTACAAGCTGCTATTTCAGAATATGTAACTGTCAGGAATATGCTCCAATAGCGCAGAACCACCTTCATATAGGAAGCTACATGAGATGCATTAATAGCAAGTATGGAAGACAGGGCACAGGGCAGAAGGCCTACACATTACACAGGTGTACACTGAATTTTACACCATGAGACAGAAAGTGAACTTTTACCTCAAGCTCACGGGGCACATTTTCAAAGCCAACACTAGGTGCGACAATTTGCATCTCAGGTGTGCCCTCAGGCTGACGCTATTATTGAGAGATGGTAAAAACTTTAGGAGGAAGTTAGGTCACTGGGGTGTGCCCTTGAGAGGGACTGGGACATCTGTCTTTTTGCCTCCTGGCTGCCCTGAAGTGAACAGGCCTCCTCTGCAAGGTGCTCCTACTAAGGTGCTCCTCTTAAGGTGCTGCCTCACCACAGGTCCTAGCTGGAGGCTAGCCAACTGAAATCAGGCTGAGCCCAGCTGAGCCAAAATAAACCTTTCCTTTTAAAATGCTGGTCACCTCAGGCACTTTGTTACAACAATGGAGGGCTGATACACTAGCTCACACAGAAAATATCAGTAAATTTCATGAAGCAGAATTATTATGAACACCACCACTCTGATCACAATGCAAAAAACCCAACATGGTTCTCCCTCCTGAAACATAAAAGTTGGCTGCTACACTACAGGTGAAAGGTAAAAAGTTGCATGGAAATCACAGGATTTCTTTCTTTTATTATGGTGCTGGGTACTGAACCCAAGTGGTGCTTTAACAATCAGACACATCCCTACCCCTTTTTTAAAATCAATCAATCAATTAATAAATACCAGGGATTAAACTCAGGGGCACTTAATCACTGAGCCATATCCCCAGCCCTTTAAAAAAATTATTAATTTTTAATAATAAATATAAATTATTAATTACACAAATGGAGCAGACAAAACTTCCCATTTCTCTGGTTGTACCTGACACGTCCCAGTCCTTTTTTTTAAAAATATTTTTTAGTTGTAGATGGACACAATATCTTTTTTTAAAAAATACTTATTTATGTTTTTTTGTTTTAGTTTGTTTTTATGTGATGCCGAGGATCAGGATCGAACCCAGTGCGCCTCATGCATGCTAAGCGAGCACTCTACCACTGAGCCACCAGCCCAGCCCCATGGACATAATATCTTTATTTATTCATTTATTTTTATGTGATGCTGAGGATTAAACCCAGTGCCTCACATGTGTGAGGCAAGCACTCTACTACTGAGATACAACCCAAGAGCCACCTTTTATATATTTTATTTAGAGATAGGGTCTTACCGAGTTGCTCATGGCCTCACTAAGTTGTTGAGGCTGGCTTTAAACTTGCAATTCTCCTGCCTCAGCCTCCTGAGCCTCTGGGATTACAGGCATGTGCCACTGCACTTGCCTTTATCTTTTATTTTGAGGGAGGACCTTACTAAGTTGCTGAGGCTGGCCTCAGACTTGCCATCCTGCTATAACCTCCCCAGTTTCAGGGATCATAGGTATACACCACCATGCCCAGTAGAAATCATAGAATTTCTAAAACTGAAAACTAATGGAAAAATTATAACTATATATACAAAAATAAAAACTACTGGATATATTTGAAGCAACGATTAGAGGAAAATTCCAAAAGCCAATCCACCTTTATCAATAAAAATAGGGGAAATGAAAACTAATTAAATTTCTGAATCAAAAAGTTAGAAATAAGTTTGGGCATGGTGGTGCGAACTGGGAAGCTGAGGGAGGAGGGTTGAAAGTTTTTGGCCAACGTGGGCAAATTAGTGAAATTCTGTCTGAAAATAAAATGGAAAGGGCCAGGATGTGTAGCTTAGTGGTAGAGATACCCTGAATTCAATTAAAAAACAAACAAACAAAATACACCAAGAGAAAGAATAAAGTAAAATGAAAGAGAGTTCATGGAGCAAATAGAATAGAGTTAATGAGGTAGAGAAAAAAGGTAAAACTAATTAACAAGAGTATGATAAAAAACAACAACAACAACAACAAATCACTAACTTAGGCCAAACAGGAAGACAGCACAGATAGAGAAAATAAGGAATGATGAGGACAAACAACAATATAAAGTAAGTAATAATTCTAGTTTGTAGACATCTCTGCAAACACATTTAAAAATTAAGGTGAAAAGGAAAACTTACTATGAGAAGGCAGTTCTCCCAAAATTAACTTCAATATATGAAGAAATATGAGAACATTTTCCATGAGGAGAGAAAAAATTACCAAGAAACCACCTCACCAAAAAAATAAGAAAAACAAAACCCACCAGGCCCAAGGGACTACAAAGGAGAATTCTATCAAACATCTAGACATTTTCAATATAGCAGGAATTATTCTACAACAAAGTTTACTAATTCTTTTTTTGAAGCAAGTATAATATTGATACCCAAAGTTGATTTAAGCAGTACACACACACCCCAAAAAAATTAGAAAAAAGGAAATCACTGAGTCCTCTCACGAATTAAAGTAACAGCAAATAGAACTCCGAAATCAAAGAATAAAATTCGCCACCAGTGAGCTTTATTCCAGGAATCTGAGAGCAATGCAACATAAGCAGATTTAGTAGAAATACACAGCACATGAATAGGCCTCAGAAGAAAAGTCATGATTATCTTCAGGGACTCTAGAATACCACTGATAAAACTCAACACCCATTCCTCACAAACACATGCAAGCAATGGAGGAGGCATTGGATATTTTCCCAACATGATAAAATATATAAACCTTAGTCCTAGGGCCAGTAACATTCATGTGGAAACTCTACAATCAGGAAAAGTGCAGCTAAACACAAGAAAGCATATAAAGAAAGATTGGAAAAGGAGAAGAAGAGCTTTCTTGACCCAGATACACAACACACCTGGAAACCCCCAGAAAGCCAGCAATAATACCCAAATTGTGAAACAGGTGGCTGAAGTAGAGGATGTGGCGTTAACAGAGTCGACAGCTGTCACACACACCATAACCAGCTGGGCAGCACTCTCCAGCAGAGATCTGATTCTAGCCACATTAAAGAAATCAAAAAGAAACAGATGAAATTAATTTTAGTAATTATTTAATAAAATAATTACCAAAATTAATTAAAATTAAAGGAGAGAAGAGCCCACGCAACATTTATAATACACAAAGCCTCTAACACACTCATTCAATGCAATACTGGCACAGAGCTAAACAGGCAGAGAACAGCAAGTGCAGAAACAGAGCCCAGTATACACAGAAACTGCTCGAGTCTCGAGTGCAGTACTAACTTCTCAGTAACTGGTGATGAGACAAGTGGTTCACTAACAATTTGGAAAAAGGTAAAACAGTTCCATCCTCACACCATACACAAGATCTAAATGGGCCTGGGGATGTGGGGAGGAACCACTCAATCACTAGCAGGAAACATGGGCACATTTTTCTTTAACCCTGGATTAGGGTATGACTTTCTACCAGTCATTCAAACTCCAAAGGCAATTAAAGATTAATAATAATGCTGACTATGTAAGAGCGAAAAAGGAAATTTCCATATGGCTGAAAAACATTAAGAAAGTCAGAAGACAACATATGAATTTGGAGAAAACATCTGTAGCATATTCCCTAGTTAAAAGGACAATATCCCTAATACATAAAGAATTCTTAAAAACAGAATAAACAAGGCAAGCACAGTGGTGCACACCTGTAATCCCCGCTATTCTGAAGTCTGAGGCAGGAGGATCCCAAGATCAAGGCCAGCCTGGGCAATTTTGCAAGATCCTGTCTCAATATTTTAAAAAAGAAGTTGGAGATGTAGTTCAGTGCTTGCCTAGCATGACTGAGGTCCTGGATTCAATCCCTAGTGTCACAAGCAAAATGAAACAAAAGCCTGGCCAGGAGTGGTGGCACACTACTGGACCTACAGGAGATGCTGCTCAGAGGACAGCTTTTGCACAGCATGAGCAACACCCAGGATTCCATCACCAGTACCACCAAAAATAAATAAGTAAATAACTCATACTCTGTTGGCCAGATTGTGGCAAATTTACTCAGATGCTGCTGGGTAGGACTGACTGGAGGTTTGGGGTAGAACTTGGAGGTGACTTAGCAAAACTACCTACGCACTTACCTTTTGATCCAGCAGTATCTCTCCCCAAGAAATTACTGTGAAGACATACTTCCAAACAACTTGAAAGCAGACACACACAACAGTGTTCACTGTAGCACTGTTTATAATTTCAAAGTACTGGCAGCAACCTTAATTGCTGCACATAGGGCAACAGTTGAATAAAGTGCAGACATTTAAAATATAAATATTATGCAGCTGTAAGAATGAGGAAAATCTCTAGGAACTGATTTGGAATGTTTCTCAGAATACATTAAAATTTATAAAAAAGGAGAAAAAGCAAAAGCAGGTGAAGTCTACAGTTTTCACAATGGCAAGAGCAGGCAATTCTGCAAGTTCTTCATGTGTGTTCTAGGGCTGGGCGAATCAGTAGGTGTGCGGTGGACAGTGGGACTTGGGCTCTCACCTCAGAGGGGCTGCTACCAACACAGCAAGGGCAAAGGCAAAAGAGCACCCCTGGACTCCCAGTTCATAGCACAGACCCTAGCTTATTGGTCGCACAGGGGAAACATCAACCTGACTATGGAAAGGTCCCCCATATGCAGATCCAACCACCACACATCAAAAATATTCAGAAAAAATCTGCATACTCTTAATAGCTTTTTGATAAGTCTAAAAGTGTTTCAAAATAACAAAAATATGATAGCCATGACTATGGGACCCTCACTGTTGGTGAAAAAGTCACAAAAGGCACATAGTCAAGGACAGGCAAGAGCATCCCACCCACCAGGGTGACTATCACAGAGGCGAGGCCAAGTGCCTGCCTCACAAAGAACTGTCTCACAAAGAACAGTAACCACCCACAGGCTAGAAACACTCCCCGTTTTGTATTTACCAATTGAACTGCTGGCTCGCTCTCCTTTCTTCTTCTTACTTTTCTTGTTCTTGCCCTTTGGCTGGGGAGAATCTGCCAGTATAAGCCGCCCGTTCTGCTGATGTTGGCTGGGAGATGGGGGCTCCTGGAGGGCTGGGCTTGACTTCTCCTCCTTGATGTGGTTTAGCTGCTTTTTGTTATTGTTATTACTGTTAACTTTTCTCTCTTCTCTTTTCTGCTCTGAGAGGGAAGTGAGTTCAACCACTTTAGCCTTTGCCTCAGTCTGGGCCCGGGGCTTGGGCTGACCCTCTGTGGCTTTGGGGGGCTCTGTGGGCTTCCTTGCTGGCTCGCTACTGGCCTTACTGGTCTGCTTTAGCTTCTGTTTCCCATTTCCCTCTTTATGGTGATGCATCATGTCCAAGAAAAAAGCTAATGGCTCATGCTGCTTCCCATTGACCTCCCTAGGGAGGAGGAGTTTGGAGTCTGTGGCCTCAACAGGGTCTGCAGCATCCCCATCAGCTCCCAGCCCTGGCCTGGGCTCTGAGTGGTTCACATGTGTTGAAGGGGAGAGAGACGAGGTTTCTGGTTCTTCGGATTGCTCTACTGAGCCATTGTGAATATTTTCAGAGTTAGGGACAGACTCTGTCACTGCCTGGAAGTTTCTAGCAAGCATGTCCAGTTTGGGACAGTCTTTACTTGGCCTCTCCTTCTTCTTCTTCTTTACAGTTCTTAGCTTCTGAAGCTCTTGAAGCCGCTGAAATTCTTCCTTGAAATGATGCTCCTCCTCCTCTTCTTCCTCCTCCTCCTCCTCCCGCCGCCTCTGCTCCTCCTGGTGGTGCAGATGCTCCCGTGCCCTGGCCTCAGCTTCCAGGCGTGCCTTCTCCTCCAGCTATTGATGCAAAAGAAAAGAAACAGGTGGCTTAAGACCATTGTAAGAATCTAAAAACTGATGATAAGTACAGAAAACTGAAGAGTTTAAGAAATGAATCACATAATGGAACATAAACTTTGGAAGAGGCAATAAGAAGTCAGAAACTTAAAATACCTAATTCCAATCATTTTGCCCTAAGGAATGGTTAGATTTTATGTATCTACCAAGGAATATGCTTACTTTTACAGGAGGAGTATGGGGTTGGGGTGGGCTAACATAAGCTGCTTTATAGCCTCTGGCTGAGTCTGGGAGACTGGCTGCTCCTTGCATGTGCTGCCCAGCCAGAGGGTGGTGAAGCTTGGTACACGGAGGGTCAACAGCAGTGACTGTCTGCCATGCAGACTGGGCTCTCAACAAGCTCCTCTGCCTGTGGGTGCTGATGCTGATCCATTCATCAGCATCAACCGGACAGTGCAAAAAGTGCCAAAAAACTAGAAGCTTTTTCCCACACTGGCAGATAAACCAAAGTACCAATATATTTTTATGAGTGTGAAAGAACAAATGGCTTTCAGAAATATTCAATGTTACATGGCAAATAAGGCATCAGTTTTGCTCTGCAACTGGAGAGGAAATTAACCAATATGAGCATGATGCAGATCTGGATCCAGGCTGCCTGTGAGGTCCGAGACAGGAGCCTGGGGTGGAGAGAATACCTACAAAGCACTGCGAGGTCTCCAAGGCCACTGACCACTCTGGATAGAGAACCTACCTTGCTGTCCCTGAGTAGGCTCAGCAAATTTAGATCTTCTGAGCCCAGCCCAGCACAGGCCCCCCAAGTCCCTGATTAGCCCTCAAAGTCAGGTGGTCCTCCTTTTCAGGACTGTGTGGCTTATCTGCCTACTGAAAAATCACCTCAGAATCATGCATAATGAGGCTAAAAGCGGCAACACAGCCCAACTTCTGGTCCATGATGCCATTGTTCTCATGTCTTTGACCACCCTGAAGGCAGGAACCTTGCTCTGCTTCCCAAGTCAACTGTCCTACTGCCGGAACCTTCATTCATAGATTCCCCTCTATGCAGCCAACATCTGCCTGCTTGTGTCTGGCTCTTGGAACCAGATGTTGTTCAGGAGTCGAAACAAGGAGGCTTTTTGGAATTGCTCTGGTACATGGGCTCCTTAGACCTTCTAAGAGAATTTTTATGTCACGGAAGGGGTTGGTAAATAATAGATTCATTCCCATAGCCTCTGAATGCTCTGTTTGCCTGACAGGCTACATGCCAGTCTATTCACAGCCCTATCACTGGATAAGCAGACATCCGTTTCTTGTGACACCACATGCCCTCTGGTGAGGGTTGCTCTTCTTTCCTCTTTGTCAGCCAGGGCTTTCCACCAACCTGGTCGCCTCACTCTTACCCTCTTTATGTCAAGGCCATGTTGTGGCCCAAATCTGGAATGCACAGTGGGTAGGACCTGTGTCTGGAAGGTAAGAGTCCCCCATCATATCTCAAAGGCACTTCATGCACCTACAGGGGTCTTCTTTATTCTCCACCCCAGAGAGACCCTTCTTGTCTAACTCCTTGGAAAAGAAGATGCCCACAGTGCTGCAGGGTCTGCTGCTATCCCATGGAGGCTAGCACAGGACCCAAAGGCTTATATGAGTTCTACTACAAACCCATGACACAAAAAGGAAGTGGTTTCCGGAAAACACACACAAAGTAAGATTTTAACCATCGCTCAGTCCAGGTCACTGGAGAAAGACAGGGGCTCTCAAGCCAAAGGGCTGGGGCGTCAATAAGCTCCCAGCCTGGCCCTCCTGGGCGCAGCACTCTTGTACCCAGAGACGCACTTGCCTTTCTCTGCTTATGCCTCGCACGCTTGGCTGCCCGAGTACTGCTTACTGGCTTGGTCTCTGAGCTGTTTATAAACTGTAACAAATCCTCTACCCTTCGATGGTCAACAACACTTTCTCGTTCCGAGATCTGATCCATTTTTTTAGGTTGCTCTTCTTTCCTCTTGGTCAGCCGCAAACGAAGCTTTTCCCGCATTTCTGCATAATTTCTACTTGTTGGAGCAGCGGGAGGCTAGGACACATAACGGCACAATCACATTAAGCCACAGTTCCAATTTAACAAATCTCAAAACATCTCCAAAAATAACCTCTTCTTAAAAAAATTACTTAACTAGTGCATGCTCTTGTGAAAAACAAGGAAATAAGATGGCAGAAGAACCAAGTATCACTAACCTAAAAATTATTTTTGGCACCTTCTCCTCAAGTTTTATATGTTTGTGAAAATCTGGTAAAATACACACACAATTTTTTTAAACCAAAAAGAAACAATTACACATACTGATTAATCTGTTTTTTTATTTAGTACAATGTGTCTACCCTTTCATATCAATAAATCTGTCTGCAGTATCTTTCCATCTGCTTGCAGGTTTCTTTCCCAGGGCTGAAAAAGGAAAAACATTGCTCCCTGGTCCTTCTGCCAAGCCTCTTATTGTTAAAAGTAATTATGCACACATTTTAGGAAATTCAGACAGAACTAAAGCAGAAAACTACTACTACATGCACCTGCATTTTCTACAGCCCATCCTGTAAGAAGCAGGGCTAGTATTTGCTGGTAGGAAAATATTATTGGCCTGAAAAATGTCCAAGCAAGCAGGTGTATCAACACCCTTAGTGTCATTTGTTCCATGAGAGGACTTGACTGTGCACACAGCACAATTCTCCTATGTGCACTTGTAGCTTGGTGAGCAATTCCCCACTGATTGTAGTCAAGGATCTCCCCCTACTTCACTGACTACTTAAAAAAAAAATCACAAATATAAAAATGCAGTGATAAAACCTCGTTTCTTTAAAATTTTACAACATGGCAGTGGAAGTGCTGCTTCAGGCTTGGTTTTAACTGCTATAGTTATAGCTCTGCACACAGCACGACCATGCTCCAGGTTCAACCTAGCGTGGCAGTCCTACAGAAGAGTCTTCAGGCCATGCCATTCTCATGTCAGCACATGCTGACTGTGCACACTCACCCCGCCGTGTCCGAAGAACTCACAGTAGCAGCAGTCACAGTACTTGCCCTCCTTTTGATTGGTTGATGTTGAGGTGCTGGAGCTATGCTCAGAGCAGCTGTCCTCCTCTGCACTCTCGTCCCCATCATCCTGCTGTGGGTCATAGACACCGTTCTCGCAGCGGTGCCCTTCACAGTCAGGGTCACTGCAGAAATGCACACAGCTTATTAGCCAGCAGCTCACCCTGGAGGCACTGACTCAGCACTGCTCCTCAAGACCCCCTGCTGCTCTGCCCATTTCAGACAGAGGCAGTGGAGAGCAGTCACTGCCACACACAGTCAGCAAAGACAGTGCGGCCACAGGACCTGGTTGTCCAGGCAGTAGGCACAGCATGCAGCTGTCATTCGTGGTGCTAGTAAGGTGCCCCTGAACAACTCCTTCTACTATCCTGACTGTTGCTGCTACCACTGCTTCCTCACTAGGGGGTGTGGGGGGCTTCAAACAGGCTAATTTGAAGGTAACAGACATGGTCTTTTATTAAAAACAAAAAACAAAACAAAAAAAACCTCTGTGGAGTATGGTCTCTGCTGCACTATAAATGCTGTACAAGTTCTTCTGATTCTATCCAGGTAACAAATACGCCTTAAAAACAAACGAGTATTACACCCATGATGTTACCAGTAGCCAGAGGTCCACAGCAGCTAGGACCTCTATTCTTCCCTCTGAAAAACTAGAGGCTGAGATGGGAGCCCCCTCTCTGTGGCCTTTACTGGGGAGGTCCCCCTGCACTCCATTTGCATTTTATGGGACTTATCAACAATGAGGCCCCAGGGCACAGCATCCTGTCTCCAAAGTGCCCTCAGTCCTCCCCACTGGGGCCTGGGAATCCGCAGCTCACCTGCAGACACTGGGAGGGGCGCTGACGGAGCCATCTGTGGTGGTGGGCGGGGGTGCCATGGGGGCAGGGCAGAAGGTCTTACGCGTGTCCACAAACCCAGGAGCTGTGGTTGCAGTTTTGGGGAATGATGGGGCTGCAAGATTTGCAAGGTGAGGTGTGGAGGCTGGGGAGAGCGAGGCAGGAGAGAGGGCTGGAAGCGGGGCCAGGCCTGTGGGGCTGTTCCTCGGGGCAGCAGGTGCTGAGTGTCTGTGGTCCTCCTTGTTGAGGCCATGAAAGACATCACCTGCACACAGAGAGGCGAGAGAGGCTGCCGAGGGCTGAGGAAACACAGATTGTTCGTGTTTCCTACAATTACATTTCCTTCATCAATGCTTTATTGTAAAAATGTTCAGACCTAGAGAAAATTTGAAGGAATAGTACAAAGAATACCTGTTCATCCTTTATCATATTTACTTTATTTCTCCATATACACACCTGTTTTTGGCCTGAACTCTGGAGTACATAGTACCTGGCCTCATGCCTAACTGCAGGCTCCTAGGTCCCCAGTGGGCCTGTTGCCAGCCACAGACATCCAGCGCCAGCACAGAGCTGCCACCCAATGTGCACCCAGTCTGTGCTCAGGCTTCCAACACCCCAGGACCTTCAGCCCCAATGCCCCCTTGCCCCCCAGAACCTTATGAACTTCTTTCCTTTTACAACATGGGAATTTTTTTTTTAAGTTGTAGATGGGCGCATTTATTTATTTTTATGTGGTGCTGAGGATTGAACCCAGTGCCTCATATGTGCAAGGCAAGCACCCCACCACTGAGCTACAATCCCAGCCCCACAACATAGGCATCTTTGAGAGGCCATGACAATCTGAATCGTCTTGTCTTGTTAGAGTCAAGTGAAATGGTCTGGGCATGAATCTTGCAAAATGAACTGGTTCCTCAATGTTTTCACAGCAACAGGAAGCACCCAAGGTCTACGGCTCTGCACCTGTCAAGCAGGGCTGACAGCTTCCTTCAGAAGGATCCCCTATTCCTGGCTGTAATGGGTCAATCCCTGGGGGTGCTCCTTTTGGAAAGTAGAAATGTTGTATTCCCCGAACTGGCATTCCTCATTTCAATATCCCCTGAACGCTGACTTCAATCAGCTGCTACGCTACTGGCTTCAGAGTGGTGACTTTCTGCTTCTATCCTTCGTACACACTGAATGGTAATGTGCTTCTGTTAAAAAAGCATTTTCCCTCTAAATGACTGGCTCTACCATCCCTATGGAGGCCTTTCTCTGCATGCTAGAATCCAACACACCTTTCCTCTGCCTCCCTTTAAAAAAAAAAAATTTTTTTTTTTTTAAGATGTCGATGGACCTTTATTTTATTCATGTATTTATATGCGGTGCTCAGAATCAAACCCAATGCCTTACACATGCTAAGCAAGCGCTCTACCATTGAGCCAAAACTCCAGCCCCGTGCCTCCCACTTTTAATAAGCTGGTCTATTGTTATTGTTTTAATGATCACACTGTCTCAACTTTCGCTGATGAGGCCCTCTCAAGTCAGCTCCTGTGTCCCTTTGACATTTGCCCAGGGTCTCTGGTAACTTCCTGGCTTTCAGGCCCCTTTTTACTGATGGCAAGTGGATTTATCTGAGTAACAGGAGGCTGGGTGACAGGCAGCCCTGTCAATTTGCACCTGTTCTCTTCTGCTTGGCATTTTCCTAAAGCAGCTTCCAAGGAATCTATCACACACTCAGAAAGCAATGACCTCTTCCCATCATGAACAGTAAGTGTTGAGAAAGGAGGTAAGATACAGTGCAGAGAAGCCCAGGGCATTCAGAGTGACAGCTGAAATTCCAATCAAAACCTGAGGTCAGAGCTTTGTGCACGAACATTTTTGTGTGTTCATTACATCTGTGCCTCTGGCTAAGCCATGTAAAAGACAATGCGCAGATGGAAGAAGCAAATAAGTCAAGTGGCTCTGGGTCCCAAGGGCTATGGGGCCTTACCTATCGATGGGGGTCTCTTGGACGACACCTTGAACTGGCTGTTGCTTGACTGCACCGTGGTGGCTGTGCAGGACACAGAGGATGTGGCGGAGGAGGTGGCCATGACAACTTTGTTTGCTTCCATAAAAGCATCTTGGAAATTGTACAAACATTTCTTTTTTGCAGCACTTTTTTTCTCTTTACTATCCGAAACTGCAGGTGCCTCGTTGCTAGATGGAGGTGGAAGGGTTCCAGGGCTTGCTTCTGAGAGTGCTGGCCCTAATATGTCACTCCCTTCAGAGAAGAATGGGAAAATTAAAGCTTCTAAGAGAAACAGCATCTTAGTGAAACCCTAACGGGCATGCTGAGGACTGAGCACTTGAGACTGGGGCTGCCACTGAAGTCATGACTCCTTTGGGGTGATGCTAGTCAACCAGCCTTTATTCTAGGGAAAAAAATTTTATTGAGCACCTATTATGTGCCAATTCCTGTGCTAGGTGCTTTTCAAAGTTAATGTCTTAAAACTACTTTCTGAGGTTGGTATTGTTATTCTTATTCTAAAGATGAAGAAACTGAGGCTCATAGAGGCTAAGCAACTTGCCCAAGGTCACACAGCTAGAGATCCTTTCCAAGCACAGATCGGGATGTCAAGTCTAGCTTCTGTTCTGAGCACATGCAGGGCAGGGTGTGGGCTACCAGGAGCTCTAGCCACAGGAAGACAGAGAGGAGGCATAGGTACCAGCCCCTCATTAGGAGCCCCTGACCCTGAAACTGAAACAACAGCCGAGCTCAGTAGCTGAGGCAGCTGGGAGGAAGGAGCTTTGGAGGGGAGAGATCCCATATAGGGTCAATACAGAAACCAGAGAAAAGGAACGCAAGCATTCGAGCAGACCATGGCCCTGTCCTCTTGCCCCTGTGCTCTGGACTGAGGTCTGGCTGTCTCCACTGCTCAAGAACTAAAGGCTAGGTAAAAGCCTTGGAGACCAAACCCTGCAAAGCATGATGCCACACCATCGCAGCCCACTGTGCTGATGACCAGTCACGGAGCCAGAGCCTTGCTCGGTTCAGCCAATGCAATGGCTGACTGGTGGCAAATGTGAAAGAATGGAACGGGATGATAGGCCTCCGGCCTCTGCTGGAGACAGAGGGAGAGGTAGCAGCCACATGGCTATACCTGGGCATCCAGGGAGATTGCAACAAAGATGGTCATCTACTCGGCTTGGGTTATTTTAAAACCTTAAGAAAGTTTTAACAAATTCCTTACCAGAAATTGTATCTGGCAAGAAAGTGCCAGGATTCCAGTTCTTATCATTCATCACTTCTGATCCCCAAAGACTTATAAATTTAGAACTATTCCACTCTGGAGTATTCCCAAAACAGCTCGGATAAATATGGTCTTGAAGAGATGCATTGAATACCTGATGCTTATTTGTGTGATTCTGAACAGGTGCTGGTGGTAAAGCCTACAAAAAAAAATTTTCTAATCACATATCAAAATTAATATTCTGTTTTCCGAAGTAATTAAACTACAAACAGACAAAGTGTGACTGAAGCTTGGCAGGATATGCTCCCTGCAAGTTGGTGCCCACGGGGGGTGCACGTCTCACAAAGCACTTGGTGGCTCATTTATAAGACTGCATGTGTACGTCAAACTGCAACCAGAGGGACAGTTTTAAAAGCAACTGATGCCGTTAGACAACTCAGTAACTTCTAACATTCCTACCTACCCATGACTTACGTGTGATTCATCTGTGTAAGATCTGTTCTAAGGCTTATCCTCATAATGGCATTTTAATAATCATTTCTAACAAGTCAGCTTTGGAGTCATGGATAAGAATGGTAAACCCTCATGCTGCTCTCTTACACCCGGACAAAGCACAGCATACATGGGAAGAGATGGAGGGATCTGTGCTGTGCTCTTGAGGAGCCGACCTGGCAGTGAGCCTCCAGAGCCTGGTGGTGCAGACCTTGTTGAAGGTACCAGGGGAAGGTGGCTAGGGTCTAGCCAGCATCCACATCCTTAACTAAGTGCCAAGTCATCTGGCAGCTCCTGGCACACACCAGGTGTCCTGGGCCCTTCCTATCCCTGGTCCATGCCTAGGCCCCAGGCCCATCTGTCCACCTCTTGGGGTTTTATAGTGGTTGAGCCTCCACTTCTGCACTTGGCTCCCTGCAGTCCTCCTCTCAGCAGCCAGTCATCTTTTTGGAATTCCCTGCTTGGAAAGTTGAGGTAGATTCCTGCTGCTTTTAACACAAAACCCAAAGTCCTTACCTTGGCCCTGTGGGACCCTAGGGAACTTAACCTGCCTCCCTTTGTCCTCCTCACCAATCCCCTTGACGCACAGGCCTTCCCTCCCCTGGTATCTGCTCAGGCCATGTCCATGTTCTGGGATGTCCGCATCTCAGTTCTCACCTCTCTCACTTACGCTCACTTACAGCCTTGGCCCAGACATTAATTTCCCAGAGAAGCTGACATTGCTGTCTCTGCTCTCACTAAGAAGACCCGACACTCAGGAACAGTAGAGTGTCCTGCTACACTCATGGAGAACCATGACCTTCCTTTCTCACCACAGCTGTAACATAGGACTGACTTATAGCTTGCTGAGTTTATGTCTGCCATCCCCCAAGTTATGCATGCTCCATAAGGAACAGGCAATGTTGCACAGTGTTCCCTCAGCAGAACTGAGGAGCTGCTGGAACGAGGTGTCCAGGTGTACACAGACAGCCTCACCCTGGATGAGCTACAGGTGCTAGAAGGACGTCTGGCCACCCCCCCCCCACCCTGCAGGATGCAGAAATGAGACACAGTGAGCCTGTACACTCAGATGGAGAGTTTTAGAGATTCCCAATTGCAAGTGATGATTTGGCAGAATCCTGAGGGCCTGGCTGGGGCAGGTGGTGAAGGGAAAGGGGACAGAGCACAGGGACAGTCCTGTATGTGGATAACAGCGCCACACCCCACAGGCTCCATAATTGTGGGCAACAGCATGGTTAAGAATAACTGTGTGGCTTCCATTCTGAATAGGCAGGGATGCCACAGAAGGTCTCAGGCAGCAAGGGAGATGATCTGGGCAGTTTAACAAGAAGATCACACTGTGGCAATACAGTGGACAAACCAAAGAAGAGATGGCGCTGAGTCAGTGAGTGAGGAGACGGGGGTGATGAAGCAAAGATGTGAAGGCAGGAGGAAAGGAGAATTCCAGAGGTTTCAGACATGAGAGCAACTGAGCGTCTAGTGCAGGGACTACCAGTTCTGATTCCACCATGGGCAGTGTGGTCAGTGACAAGAGCTGGATTTGAACCAAGCCCCATCTCAGCCTCCCGTTTACTAGCTGTGTGACCTCAGGCAAATCACTCAATCTTTTTGTGCTTTAGTTTTCTCATCTCCAGGGTTTTTAGTTAGAGTTTTGTACATTGCCGGGCCTGCAGTCAGTACGCATTTGGTCATTGTGAAGACGAATTACTATTACTTTCTAAGACTATGTTCCCTAGACACAAACCAATTAACTTTCCAAACCCTCCCAGCTGGGCCTATTCTTCCACACGCTTTGGGGCAGAGAACAAGTGGGCAGTAACTCTATTCAGGCCACCATCATAGCTCAGTGCGTCTACTGACCTCTGGGGGCTCAAGGAGGCAGAGGGAGAACATGACGGAGCAGAAACTTGTGACTTGAAAGCAAGGGTCCAAACTAGCTGTTCTGGCAGGGGAGCCCCAGGGGTCACAGAGCAAGGAGAACAACGAATCCTATTTCAACAGACCCCAGTTTCTACAAAGTAGTGAAAAGCTAAAGCTACTTTGCTGATAAAAAACAGTCTTGGGGACCTTCTGCCAAGTGGCAGAAACACCTGCCAGGTACAAACTGGCCTGTTTTTTCTGTCTCACAGCTGGCTTAGAGATGTGTCAGCAGGTGAGCTCAGAGCCACTGCCTTCAGGGTTCTGAGCCATTTAGGTGCTTCCTAAGACTTTCCTCAGACACAGCTGTGTGTGTCTGGTATCACCTCTGGCCAGTCTGGCTGACACCTGACCAGACCCATTCTTGTGTCCATACAATTCTCGCCTTCAAAGCCCTACTGCAGAGTGTCCCCTGCTTTGTGAAACCATCCCAGGTGCTTCAGCTTTCCCTCTCCAGCATTACTTCTCTACTCTGCACTCACAGGATACATGAGGCATGCCAGAACATTTTGATGTTTTATTTTGATGTTTTTATCTTTAGACTGCAAACTCTTTGAAAACTGGGACCAGAATTACTGATTTTGGTTTTCTTAGAATGTAGCACAGGGCCTGGCACATACTAGGTGTTCAATAAATTTTTATTGAGCAGAATGCAGTTCAGAAGATTAAGGAAATGCATATTAAATAGTAATATTGGAAGCATACAGTGATGATCCTACACATTCTACTTACACTTTTCTTCAGAAGCTCTCCTACTCAAGACGCAGGCCCAGGTATAGAGGGCAAAAGGAAGGGGAATCAGTAACCAAAAAAGTTGTAATCCCCCCCACACCACCACCTCCACCACCACTGTTTTCACACAAGAGAGCTTAAAGGTTTCTTTCAGAAAGAAGTAGTTGTCTGTCGCCAGACTATTCTGGGCAATGCCTCGATAAATATCAACAATCTAACTATACAGTAGGTCTTTCAAAATGTGGATAATGACTTTACTCTTTTACACAAAATCCACAAAGCTTCAATTAATGGAAGTTTTGAACTGTTCTCCACTTCGACACAAAAGAATTAATTTATAGGAAAAGAAATTTTTACTTTAAGTGAAAGCTCTAACACAAACAGACACCATCACTAAGCATACTTTGAAGTGTGCCCAGGAGCTGGGCACCCAGCCTGTCCTCTCTGGGCTATGAGTGTGAAAGACAAAGAGCCAAGACAGCAGAAGGAAGACAAGACTGTTCACACCCAAGGGGATGTCAACGACATCTCATTTAACATGAAAGTTAAGATGAGCACTTCTTTGTTTCTGCCTAATGGAGGTCTTTCAACACTCTTTCCAGAGATAAAAAAAGGTGCAAAAGGACCACCTTTACGTTGGCCTTGCTGGTTCTCAGGCTGGTAGAACTATACTCTTGCCTCTAAAATAAAATACAGATCAAACATGACACAATCCCCAAATTAGTTGTCTACTTATGCCCCTACTTTCAACACAGTCTTTCCACCTCAGCCTGAATGGACACTATACATGGAATTGTTTTGTAAAACAATTACTATATTGAAAAAGGGCCTAGAGTGAAGTGGAAAAAGGCCTTGCTGTGTTTTGACAGTATTAAACACTTCTGCAGTGGCTGTGCCTAAGGCTTAAAGCAATCTCAGAGTCATACCCAGCTACCCCACTTGCCAGGCAAGGCACTGAATTCCCTCAGAGGCCAGGACCCCCTTTACTAGTACAGTGATTATTCCACACACACACTCTCCATATTGGATGAAAAGGACATTATTTAGAGTTGGAAGCCTTGGTTCCAGCACAAATTCTGGCCCCACAAAGAGGCGACCTGCCACCTCAGACCATGTGGGCCAGCAGGAGAAAACCTGGTCTAAGAAGGAGCTCAGGCACATGTCACCTGCCCTCCTGCCTTTGCCTCTCTTCTCTCCTCTCCAAGCCGCTGCTCCCCAGGCCTGGGCTTTATCAGGTATCTGTACAATCAGGCCCTGGCAACAAACAACCAACTGCAATTACAAAATTACTAGAAGTGCCAAGAAGGTCCCAGGTGAAGGCAAGGGACGTTGCCTGACCTGACGGGAATGACACAGCCACAGAGACTGACTGATGTGGGGCCTGGAGGAGCTGGCCAGAGGAGGGCCTCAGAGGGTCAGCACTGGGTTGGATCCTGGCATCTGCAGAGGGGAACTCTCTTAAGGAAGGTGTCTTCCAGTTAGGGTCTTGGGCTCTCACAGAGAAAACGGCACAAAACCTGACATCAAGATAAAACTAATGTAAGAAAACAGCATGCTTGAATGATGTCACAGAAACAACAAAATAGATTTAGAGCCTCTGGATTTCATTTGCGCACAGAATAACTTTGTGTAATGCGTACAGAAAGAAAAGAGGAAGCTGGACACAATGGTGCATGCCTGTAACCCCAGCTATTCAGGAGGCTGAGGCAGGTAAATCACAAGTTCAAGGCTAGCCTTAGGAAGAGGAGCAAGACTATCTCAAAATTTAAAAACAGGTGGGTGGGGCTGGAGATGTAGCTCAGTGGTTGGAGGGGAGGAAGGGAGTAAGACAAAAGAAAGGAAGAAAGAAGAAAAAGAAGAGAGAAGAAAATCAAGAAAGAAAGAAAAAAATATAAAAAGTGAGATGTATTTGAAAAAACATAAAGCTCAGAAATAAGAATTACAGCTGAAATTACAACTTACAGACACCATTAGACTATCATTTAATGGGTAGATTGATCAAAAAATCATTCAGAACACAGAACTGAGAGAGGAGATGGGAAACTTAGAGAGCTTTCA